AACCATTCTATGATTCTATGATTTTTACAAAGCCCTTTATTTTTTGTCTCGAGGATTATAAAAACTGTTAATCAAAACCAAAGTGTTTAAAACTTTACATATATACAATATGAGAAATAAATTATATTTTAAGTCATACAAAAACCACAATATACAAATAGGGCTTTGAAACCACTCTATGTATGGCACGGTGACAAGTCACAGATACTTACCAAAGGCTTCGCTTATTGAAGCCTTTGCATAGAACCATGGAAAAGAAAAAGATCTCCAAATGTGCTTGCTTTGGTTGCATTGAAGCTCTACAAAAACTCAGGGAATTGCAGGCCTCAGAAGGACTTGCTATGTCTTCGGAACTTGGTGTTGCCAGATGGTGCACTATTTTTTGAGATTGCCTTTCTGCACGCTAAAAGTTTGAGAGTCATTACACCAAGCCTCCTTCCAAAAATTTGGGAAAAAAAACAACAAACAAATAAAATATGTAGTTCACCTCTGACAAGGTCCACTCTGCTGTAGCCAACGGGACAGCTGTAGAGTCTGTCAAACTCAGAGCAAAGCCAAGTTCAGCTGGCACCAGGGAATCCAACCGGGATGTTGTGGCAATGAGGGTAGGATGTCGTCTGTTTGGCTCAGTTCAATACTTTGCACAAAAATAAGGTCTTAAACACGCATTGGCACCACGGCAGCGCCTGAGCAGAGGCGAACACATTCTCAGTAGTTAAAAGGACTGCTGCAAAGCTCTCCTGAAGCAGTGTGGTTCACTGTCCCCCTCCTCCCTTACCGTCAGCAGAAGGGCAGCTGCCATCTGCCTCTTAACAGAGAGATGAAGAGATGGGACCGGGCAGTCTCGCTGCGGACACTGACTGGGGAGCAAGGAGCAGCTGCCAACACCACCACCTGCCATCTGCACCGTGTTCTGCCCTACGTACAGGGAGGATGGGATACTACTTTCTTCTAAGGCAACATATAGAGATTTCAGTATCAGCCAGACACAAGACGGATTATTTTTAAGGCAAGCAAAGGACAAGTTGAAAATAAGTGGCTTTGTGCTTATCCCCACCCCTCCTCTGAACAACCCCACACACTTGACCTGTGATGGTCTTGTCTTCCCACAGCCCATAGTGCTATTGGACCCACGGTTAACTCCTACACTAGATGCTAATCTGTTCTCAGCAGCTCTGTCACCAACAGTCTGGTGGGCAGTTAGCATGGTTATCTTCTCAGCTACACCAGCAGGCAGGCAAGAAGATCGTTGCTGAGGTCTAGATCTGTGAACATCTCATCCATAGTGCTGGTTAATGAAAGCAGGGCAGGAGAAGTAGCACATAACAGGTCAAGGTAAAGTTATATGCACAAACCAGGCTCCCCGGGGTAGAGAGACTAGTTTCAGTTTTTCTAGGTCTAGGACCACAGTCCATCAATTCCTCCTTGGTTTCTTGCATCTGATTCAAGATGTTTTGTTCTGAGGAACTAGTCGCTTTAAGTGCTACCAAGCCAGGTTTTTGCCAGAGCATCTTGCTGTCTGTGTGGTCCTCGTGCATCTAGGTTGCTCAGGTGTGAGTCTTTAGAGAAGTCTTCAGAGAGAATTTGAGACAGATCTGGGAACAGTGAGGGGGAGGGTGGTGTGGGAAAAAAAAAAAAAACACAAACACACAAAAAAATGGTTAAATGTAGAAATTAAGAGGAGTCTCAAAGAATTCCTAAGAAACTATGGGATGCTAAGAACAGGTTTGGACAGTAGAGGCTGGTATTTTATTCTGTCAAAGCAGCACTTTGCCCAGCAGCCACCCAACAGGAGCCCGAAGCAGGCAGTATGCGCACGAGTAGGCAGCAAACAGAAATTACTGGTCTCGCCGCCAGACTCTGCCAGCTCAGATCCATTCGGGGTGGACAGATGTTTGCAGGCTCAGTCTCCAAGCAGGGAACTACACCATTGCAGTGACTTAGCGGGAACAGAGAGCTGAACGATGAGTAATTGCTCGTCATCTCTGGGAGGAAGGACCATTTCCTAGAAACCATGGTGCTCTGGAGCTCAGATCTGCTCCTCTGCCTCATGCAAAAGCTGCACTCCACGAGTAAGCAGGAAGGGCACATCTGCCAGCAATTCTGTTTTATGGGGGTTACTGAGCAGCATATCAAAACAGCCTTTTATTGTACCTGCAGGAGTGTTTACTTGAACTTTCAGGGCTTGTGGCACAGCAACAAGCTTTTTGCACAGGGGTTTCATTCACAGAATTGTTTGCTACTGTATGTAGCACAGCTTGCTGGTTTCTGCCCAAGCTGGAACGGCACCAGCTCACGTTCCTGAGCTGAGCTCCACTGCCCAAGAAGGCTGTGCAAAGCACGACTTCCAGAGGGCTGTGCTAGCCCCAACAAGCGCTTTGTCTCCGGATTAGAAGCGACAGAGCTCTACGTTTACAAATCGAAATCTGAGAGGCCACAAGGCTGGGCTTCATCTGAAGGAGACGATCGTTTAGTCAAACGATCAGGGATTCATTCAAAACATGACTAGAGGCGGTCTGAAGCAATCCAGCTGTCGCTGCTGGGACCAGGCTTACTGGAAGTCATGCTCTGAGGACTGATCCTTAGGTGCCTGGAAAGTCCCCCAGAGGTTAAGCAGGGCTGAGATGCTCTGGCAATGGCTGAGTTTGCACTCTCCTGAACCAGAAGAGATTAGCATAGCCAGAGATGAAGTGGTAGGACTCCGTACTGTAACACCACAGCATGTCCTTAGCTGTGTCTTGCTCATGTAGTTGTGCCCAAACTTGATCAAGAGATTTCTTGGCAGCTTGAGATCTTCTACCAGGCTGGAACAATTTTCAAGGCAATCCCCTGCACTCCCAGCTTTCCTCTGTTTTACAGAGCAGTTAATAGATGCCTCTAATTAGCTCTCCACTACAGCAAGGACCTGGGGTTTTGGTAGCACCTTGTTTTTAGCATCTACCACGATAGCAAGCAGACAGGTTCTTTAGGACCAGGGATCACGTTGTACCAATCTGGTAGTAAGCATGTAAAGGTAAGCAGGCAACAAACCAAGATCAGAAGTGAGGACAGTATCACCTAGTTAGTGATAGTTAAGGCATACACGAAAATCAAGTCCAATGTCTTGGAATCTTGGGTTAGAATTTACTAACTTTCTTTTGAAAGAAAAAGAGGTTCCAGGAGTCTCAAAGAAAAACCTGGCTCCACTCATCTCAGCACAGCCACATGCATCAGACAGGATTTCTCTTAGCTGATTTTCCCTACCTTTTTCGCCATTCCTCTGCGCACTTCACAAACCAGAGCTCTTTACCCGGAGATATACTGGTCAACTGGGAATCCTCCACACAGAAGGCAAACCTAGGAGGAGGAATGAGAAGTCAAGAGAAGGTACCTGTTGTCTCCATGATTAACAAATAACATGTAATACAGACTGCAGCTAATCCTAGGACAGGTTTTTCGATTTGACATCGTTCCTGTGGAGCACCTTCATACACCATTAGCCTGTTGAATGGCTGTCTTATTTCCTACTTTAGTATTTTATTCGGGTATCTTTGCTTCTGCTACCCCTGTGTTTCATAGACTGTAGAGACTAGGATGCAGAACACCTTACAGACAGGTGATGCTTATTTAAAGCTCCGAGAAAGGTGGGAAAATTGCCAATGTCGACTGCTGTTCTTTGACAGACCTGGGTTACCTTCAGAACGACGTGAGCACAAGATTTGGGAGTGCAGTGCTACATCCTTGGCAGCCTTACTGCCAAGGAGACCTGGTAGCTTTCCAATTACAGAGATCCCAGAAGGAGCAATATAGTGCTTAGGGAGTTGGTGTCACCATGTTACCGGCTGCAGTTTTAGGTCTAGCTTGTTGAGCCAAATCAGCCCATGATGTATGTAAACAGTAGTCTTGCTCATCTATGTTTCAGTATTTTTGGTGCTGTCAGTACTTCAACCCTTCAGGTATGATCTAAACCATCTCGAGGCAGGCTAATTTAGTCCCCAAGGGCAGGCAAGACAGTGTCACAGCATCTAAATAAAGCAAAAGAACATCTCAGATGTGATCTGCAGTGACTGGTCTTGCTTGCAGCCTAGTTTGCAACCTCATGCTGGCAAGTAACTCGCTCTCCTACACCATGAGGGAGCATTGGCTGGCAGCACCAAAAATGAAAGATGGTTCAAGGTACCAGCTAAGGTCAAACTCCCCAACTTTTCTTGCTAGACTCTGAATATTTCTCTTTTTCATTGAAGTTGCAAGCCAGCTTGCATGCAGTCTAACACAACTACTACCTCTGCTGCGTTTCTCCAGATTTCACACGTATGCGTCTGATATGCAGTTCCTGGGAAGACTTCGCAGGCCGATACCAGTAGCTCTTCAGCTCTTTCCACAGATCGTACCATGACTGAGATGTTCCCTCCCAGGTGAGCTTTATTTTTAAAAGTTCACCCATGTCCTCTTCAGTATAGACCAGGAAGGTGTTCGTGGCATTTAGACCAATTTGATCAAGCCTGAAAGACAAGCAGAGACTCAATGTTTCTTCCTTATGGCATCGTGCCAGATGCTCATTCATTCCATGCAAGAAGTTAAACAGAGCCCTTTGCAGCTTATCAAGTGCTCCACACTCAACTGTCACCAGCTAATTACCGATTACGCTAAAGAAAGTGACCTTGGACAGCTGGTTCAACACAGCATGTATTTGGCTCAGCCATCCTTCCATAGCTGAAAGGTGAATTTCACACCTTGTGTGTCTTCCATCTCCTTGTGGGAGATGCTAAGGGAGGTCAGCAACGCCTCTGGAGATACGGGTGCTTTCAGACTATGTCCAAATGGTAGAGGGGAAGAGCAAAACAAAGTATTTCAACAATGAGCCATGAAGGCTCATATGTAGAGGACTGGGCACATCAGACCGCTTTCTCAGCAATAAATTATAATTAAGTTACTGGATGGAAAGTTTTTTGAATGGGTGACGAAGTGAGGCTGCTAGGCTGAGGTGCAATGCTAGTGTTACTCAGAGGAGAAAAAAAGCAATGCAACCTTGTCTAGGCTCGGTGGCCATCTTACCCAGAGCAGGCACAACAGGCCAGCTTACTTACATTTCTAAAGAGAGGGGTTCAGAGTCTCCATTGGTGCCATGAAGGGTGACGGAGAAAGTGGGGTCAGCCTCTCCCAAGCCTTCGTAGCTGAAGACATGCATTTTCATCTGATAATGGTAGACTGGGGAGAAACGAGGGGAGCACAGATGGAACCAACATTGTTGAGAGACAACATTGCTCGGCATCGCTCCTTGTCAAACAGAGTTGGCTGACAAAGGCTAAGTCCTGTATTTATCAGGGCATCATTGACTACTTTTTCCTGCCCTTACTGACTACAAAGTTGACATTCACACAACAGCAACAGCAAGTGCACTCCAGGGAGGGCTCCCCAAACCTTACACTGCTCTAAGGTGTTGGAGTGGTCTTGCAAGCACGACATGCATAAACTGTAGTCCTGCTCAAAAGGCAGAGTGTCCTTATGGCCGGAGTCCTGCTGATCATACATGGAGGAAGGAGCACAGGAACGCCACAGGACGGCAATGCAGTCGGGAAACTAAAGACTAATGCCACGTGCTGCGCTGC